AATTACCCTCCTAATGAAAACTTTCGTTGTATCGAGTCCTTGTATCCTCCCCTGTGTATCATTGGTGATGCACACTCTCACATTATTTTTCCACTCTAAAGAGAAGGAAGACGTTAGTGCTCTAGCTTCATATTGCAATGGTAATTAAATGCAGCAGTTGACAAGTTTAAAGGCATCAAGCCCTTTGCAAAAGGCGCACATTCCCCTGTCCTGCAGGACTTGCAGGCATTTGTATGAGTTAGGGCAAAAACCTGACAGCATGTGTGATATTTTTGCCTATCCATTATCTTCTCCATCTGCCCTCTCATGGCAAATGTGCCTGGGAGAGACGGTAAGTTATCACTGCTCCCTCCTCCATCACATTGACCATACGAGTGCACTGCATTCAGCCAGAGGCGGTTTAGCTGAGATTCTTCTGTTGTTTTCCCCTGCTCTCTTTTGGGCAGAAAATTAAAGGAAGGAAGTTGCTGGGACTCAGTATTTCCAGTTCCTCCCCAGAGATGCCCTCCGGTCTGTTCAGCTGTATCTGAGCTTACGCCATATATCATGTAAGATTTTCTAGCCCTTCACTATTAGGTTGATGGCTGGGTAGAGTTTCTTTGTTTCTTTCATTCTGGATTCCTGGGGCAAAATGATGTCTAGAACAACTCTTTCCTACACATCTGAAATTACTTGGGGTAACTGATCCATCTTTTCTAATGATGTTGCATAGGCTTTATCTAAAAACTTGTGAATGGCTTAATTGGGGATTGACTTATGGCTGGATGTTATTCTGTGGGGTAAATTTTCCTCTCCTGGCCTGGCTCATAACTAGTTTTGGCTGGAACCAGCATGAGAGCTTCCACATTCCTACAGCTCTGCTCTGACATTCATGGCACGATGAAGGATGGGTAGGATTAGCTTGCTGCACTACATCACTGCTTCCACAGGTTTGGTGCTGTAAAGGGACAGGTCTAACAAGGTGATTATAGCTTTACAGGTTTGGTTAACATGCCAAAAGAGGCTGGGAGAGGTTTCCAGCAATGGTCTAATTAGATGAGTATTTCTATAATTTCATTTTATGTTACAAAATTGTTTTGTTGAATATGTTTCTGAGTGTTTGCATCTGATCAGTAAAGCTTTGGCAAGTTCGTGGTATTTGTGTAGAAAAATTTTAAATAAGAAAATAATTTCTCTGACTCAGTTATATTTATCAGACCTGAGATTTTCTAAACGTCACTCCAAGGTTTTGTGAGGTGCATTTCCTTTTGGAAAAAAATTAATTGAGCATTTCTAGTCTTTTGAAAACTGGATGCGGTATGTAGTTACACTGAGTGTTTTTTTTCCTGCTCTAAAATGTGGCATCCTTTATCATAATTAAATGAACTAATAGTGGCTGTGGTTTATAGAGAGCTCTGGAAGTAGAACAGAGCACATAGCTCTGGGAAATCAAGTGGATTTGTTTATCTGTGCATGAGGTATTGCATTTGTGTTCTAGATTTAAAATATAATTGCAGAGTCCCATGGATGCAGGCCAGCCACGTCTATAGTTTTTAACTTCCGACACTGAATAAAGACTTGCCACTTACATTCTGCAATCCTGCTATACCTTGTTGAAGATAGCAACAAGTAGAACAGTATTTCCATACGTTAGAACCCAAATGCAGTTGAATGCAGTATTTGATTTTTAAGCAGACCAGAAATCAGCTCTTTGAAATGCAACTTGTTATCTCTCATTCAGAAAGTTTAAGTACAGCAATGTATATCTTCAGCTCTTTTCCATCATAACCACAAGAGTGGGATCAAATGTTTGCAATCAGCAGAAGAAGATCACTGTTAATGAACGCCTACACTTCCAGGGTATACATATGCAAGTTTAAAAGGTCTGCTGAGTTGGTTGTTAAAAAACAGCTTAAGAATGTAAGATGTCAAGCTTAGAATGGTGGTAAATAACCAGAACTAAATGTGCTGAAACTTATATTGCTGTGCTTGTGTTTATTAAAGCTGTGTTTGGTTGATTTTATTAAGTGGCAATAAAATATAAACCTTAAAGATACCCAAAAGACATAAACCATAAAGATATATAAATTCAGGGTCAGGCCAGTCTGTAGGCAGCACTGCGTGGCTCTGGTCTGAATGGCATTTGGACCTAAGAGAGGATGTGCTTGGGTGATTTGAAATGCCAGCAGATCAGGCCTGGATCTGCCTGCTGTAGCGGTCGCTAAACATATTGTAGATTTCTGAAAGTGAAATTTCTGTCTTCCCCTGCTGCCTGCGTTTCCTGGGTGTTGTAGCAGCATCACTCACTGACTGTTCCTGCGTTGCAGTGGGACAGGCTGTGGAAAACTGTGCTGGCAGCGTCTCCAGCTCTTCCCCACTCCTGCTCAGGTCCCACAAGGTAGAGAGGAGCTTGAGGCACCTGTACAGAACTTGCTGAGCACAGCCCTGCCTGCTGACCTTTCTTTTGACGGATCTTTAGACTTTTTAGTAGTCCTTTCCAGTTGTTCAGCATAGGAGCAGGTGCTTTAAATTAAAGCTTAAAATTTAAATGCCTATTAGATAATCGGTGTAGTGCCACCACCGTCTCCATTACAAGCGTTAGTTCGGGTGATGTGTCTATTACAGCCTCACATGAATGAGGAACAGAGAGAGGACTGTGTTGCTGTGCTAGTTTTCTTCTGTATAGTTCAGGCTGCTGGGCTGGATTTGAAGTTGGTAATACCTGGCCTGTGTGGGAGTGGGGACTGCACCCACCCCTGTGTTTTTCCTTAGTTCCTGGAGTGGCTTTTTAAGACTTTTCTAATTCCTGAGGTGTAGCCATGAATTAGAGTATTTTTAACCCTTTTTCAAGCTTACTTTGCTTATCTTATGAAGGAAGCATTTAGAAGATTATTTGTGTTTTCCAGATTTGGGTTTTACATTGCAATTTTGTTGATGGATTTGCATTTACATTGAAGTTATATGATTTTGTACATGTTTGAGTGAAATACAGGGAGGAACTTAAGTAAAATACTGTTTTCAGTGTGTTAAGGACAAGATGTTCCTTAACTTTCTTGTCTAATGACAACATTAAAGTTACTTAATGTAAATAAACAACATATGAAGCTTGACATAGCACTAAACAGTCTTCTTACGGGAGGCTTTATTGTTTTTATATTTTCTGTAGCATGAAGACTAGAATATATAGTGGTGATATACGTGAAGAAACAATGTTTCTTATTTAAGAGAAGATACTCCTGTGTGTGTTTTTCTAAAAAATATGCACAGTAGCATAAAGGAATAAATATTTTCTGGTTTAATTTAGAGAGACTTAAGGAACTTACATGACAGCAAACAGAATGTATGAGAAGAGAGGAGTTGTATGGAATTTTGAAAATAATGACAAAATTTTAAAAAATTATGCATTGGGTATGCACCAGTGCAATTGAGAGAGTTGTCTATATAGACCAATTTTCCCTTTTTATGTATCTGGAAGTATTGCTATTGTCTGAGAGCAGTACACTTTTTAAAATATTAGCTACATTATCTAGAGACCAAGTACTTTGTTTTTCATCATTATACAATTGTATAAATTAGACTATATAATCAGAAGACTGCAATTCAAGATGTTAACACAAAGTATATTCTAAAAGCAAATTTAATTCTGGATTTTTAATGGACTTGTCACAATCAAGTCAGCAAGCTGGTCTTATCTGTCAGAAGATATGTGAATGGGAAGAAGGGACGCGGCCACAAGAGCTGCTCTGAGTCACGGGGCAGAAGCCCAGTGACAGACACTGTAGGAAAGGACATGTACTAATGATGACAGATGATCAAACTAAGAATGAAAGACTTTAAAGCTTTTAAATTATCTTCCACTTCTAATTAAAAGCTTTCTTGAATAGTAGGTCTAGTTCCTTTTCTAAGAAGCTGGAAAAAGCTGTGTTCTTTCTGGGACAGTGCCATAGTACAAGAGCATAACTGTTATTTATTTTTGAAATTATTTTAAAATCTGAAAAACTAAATCAATTAACTATAGGCATTGATACTTTGGGCAGTTGTTTTGTTGGTGTGGCTGTAAACTCAGCAGATTGTAAGAAGAATGGACCATTTTTCAGTCAGGTGGACAATCCTAACCCAGTTATACTAACTTTGAGACAGGTCTGGGATATATCGTTCAGATCTCACTTACTCTTAACTTTGTGCTTATAACAGCAGTTACATTCCTGATCATTACATATTAAAATGAGAAAATTACCATTTGAAGTTAATCCATATTAGGGTAAATTTAGGTTTTTTAAAATAATTTAAAATATGTCCTTTGTGGTCATCGG